TACAAAGATTCAACTTTCAATAAGTTTCTGGTTAAACAGGTTGCAAAAACTTCCCTAATGTTGTTGGATATAAATTAAAAGTGTACAAAATTACATTTCAGCAAAAATACAAACTAAGCTGAATAAGTTGTTCGAATGAGCACACTGAAAACATTCATTTTCCAAGGGATTACTTTTATGAATAATCAGGTATCCAGAAAAGTTGCTCGCAGTAATAAAATATTAATGTTGCCGTTAAAAAAGTTATGTGCACAGTTTAATATTTTAAACCAAACCTTAAAAAAAGCATATTCTTTTAAGAAATACGTGTGAATATCCGATCTGGGATATCATCTCCTGAAAAGTTTGTCAACCCCGCTTTCAAACGAGTCATCCGAACCCATTAAATGCATGAACATTTTGATATTGGACCCTCCTCAAAGATCAAATATCCTTTAATGTACAAAGAAATTTAGCAGCACAAGTAGGAATCTACCTCACAATTTGTATTGATCTTATACATGTTAAACTTCAAAATGCTGGACTAGGAACTGTACACAGACGATTAATGTTGCACGAATATTCCAGGAAAACTACACTGGTGCGATCAGGGGTATTTGAAATGACGATTAGGCTGAGATCGAGAGATGATGATAATGGGTTGCTGTTTTACGTCTAATGGCATATTAACTGCATATTCAGGATGAGAAAATATCAATGTGAAGTATATATGAACCCTGCATTGTACTAGACGAACACGCTGAGCAGACCTTTTAACGTGCGTTTACAGTAACGACCCACTAGAAGGCATGTCATACATTATTCTGACTCAAACACGGCCAGCCTTTGCTCGTACTCTTAAATGCCACTTATTGGGTAGAGAAGAAGCAAGTATTAAATTTCTAGTCTTTGGTTTGATCGAAAGATAAATGAAAATAATATTTGGTAAATTTCTTGCGAGCGTAACGTTAAGTATCTTATGGTGGTATTTTTTTAATTTTTAAAAGCATTCAATAATTAAAAAAGACTGGAAAGTAAACGAAATTAGCTTCATATGATACTTACATACTTGGAGCACCGGATTCAATAACGTTATTTGGATGAATTTCATGATCCTTAATATTCTTTTTCTGTGAAGTAGTTTTTGGACAGTTATTCATTGATTGTCCTCTTATTTTTGCCAACAGTATTTTGGGTTTTTTTTTCAGCGTCATTCCTTTTAAATTGCTTGTTTGGTATATATTTTTCTTCTTCTTACTGGATATATAATATTGCTGGATGATATTTTGTCGTGGGATCACCAGAGAAACTCCAGACCAGATGAATGCATGCCTGAAATTTAATCAGCTAGAGTCTGACATTGACATCGTCATGTAACAAAGGTCTGACCTAAAAGGCATCCAGGACTCCGTGTCGTCAGTATAATAACAGCTATCCTTTCCCAGACCTTTATCGCGATATATCCCAAACGACTAGTATGTTTTACATTCATCCTGGGGCAATAATACTGTTATCAAACACCATTAACTATTCAAATACAGGATTATTTGGAATTTAGTTTCTTTGAGGAAAAGTGTATTGCTTCAAAACGTGGTAACAAGAATCTTCAAAACCTGAAAAAGGTTGATAGCAGATGCCATATTTAGCAGAATTAAACTTACATTATTATTTCACCTGGGTCTGATGTAGATCAAAGTATACAGTGGCTAACTCTAAGTACTTATCCAATTTTTATCAAATCATACCGTTTATGTCTAATATCGGCGACTGTACTTGACAAAATATTTCATTCACCAGCATTAAGAACAGAACAGGAAGACACGGTTTTGTGGAATGCTATGAACACGGGTGCCACAATTGGAGAAAGATTTGCTTGCCTTCAGCAGCACCTGATATCACCCCTGGTTTTTTGTGGGGTTCCTATTGTCCAGTCTTCAGTTTTGTATGTTGTGTTTTGTAGACTGTTGTTTGTCTGTTGGTTCTTTATTTTTTTGCCATGACGATGTCAGTTTATTTTTGACTTATGAGTTTGAATGTCGCTTTGGTATCTTTCGCCTCTCTTTTACACATAACTTGAATACAGAAAAGCTAAGGGAATAATCAGTCTTGCTTAACTATAATACATTTGTGAGTAAATGTTTAAAATATAAGAAGTAGTTGTTTATCAACAACAGTAAAGTTACAATTTTACCAATAAGGCTATTGAGCCAAATTATGAAGGACAATTTCTAAACTTGTACGCTTTATAAATAAAATTACCAAACAAGAATATTTGCAGTAACAAGAAATGGAAATGACTTTACGCCATTCCTTCCAATTTGTTTAAGAAAGAGGCACCTTTTTTATACATTCATCAACAACTGGTCTTAGCGAATATTAAATTCTTCTGTAGTAACAAATGAAACAGGCTCATATTGAAACCTTTATTAATCATATTTTCTAGAACAAGGAGGGTTGTTTATGGTATGATATTCGGATGTTAAACATAATAGATATGTAAAGTTAAATTGTATTTCTGTCTGACTTTTAAAGTTACTTATTCAGTATAATTATTTTTTTTGCTGATGGTCTGACAAAGTATTCAAACAACAACTGTAGCTACCTAAGCTAGCTCGCTGTATTAGCAAGCTTATTTCAACATTCTTGGCAAGCAATGCAGTGTATATTGTTTCCTTGTTCTGGTGAATTGTAATTCTTTACGTATATTGACTAGTATGTACTTTGTTTTAATTGTGTTTTCTATGGTCCAGAGCAAAAGGGATAGGTGTGTTTCCCAATAAAAATTAATTTTCCCCACCAGATATTGTATTTGATTCAAGTAATGCTATCGGGACCACATGTTGTTTGTCTGTTATCACCTTTATTTTTTTAAAGATTGTTTAGTGTTGGTTTGATCTGTTCTAATGCCCAATTTCAGAAAGTTCCTGTATTTTATTGAATTTTATATAAAGTGTTTGTCAAGGAATTTTAAGTATTGTCTGTTCTGTCAGAATGCTAATTATATTATGTCTGACAACACTTAATAAAGGAGAAATCATGTACTATCATGTTAACTTTTAGGCAGATTTTAAAGTGTTAACAGGACCAGGAGAAAACACCACTGACAAACTACATATAGCTAATAATTTTCTGCGTATAATAAATTGTATATTAGATCTGCTAAAATCAGTCAAAAAAAAAATACATATCCAATGTCAACACTTTGCCTACGAGAATCTGACAAGAGTGCACACACTGAAATGTCTCGCCTTCTTTACTAACCATTGATTTCATGTTGATAGTCCTAAATACAAAGCTTTACTACAAGTAACACATAAACTTATTAATAACATGATCCAAGAAAATGAGGTCAAGGTCAGATAAACCAAACGAGAAATACATGTACATGCACCTTAAAATCATTCAATAAACCAAACATAGTTGACCTATTGCTTATAGTTTCTAAGAAACAGTCTTAACCAAGAAAACTTAACATTGACCAATAAACCATGAAAATGAGGTCAAGGTCAGATGAACCATGCCAGACAGACATGTACATCTTACAATCAATTTAGGCATTAAATATAGTTGACCTATTGCTTATAGTATCTAAGAAACAAATTTAAGCATGAAAACTTAACATTGACCAATGAACCATGAAAATGAGGTCAATGTCAAATGATACCTGCCAGACACATATACACCTTACAATCCTTCCATACATCAAATATAGTTGATCTATTGCTTATAGTTGAAAAAAAAACAGACCAAAACACAAAAACTTAACACTGAGAAATGAACCGTGAAAAGGAGGTCAAGGTCAAATAAAACCAGTGAGACTGACATGTACATCATAAAATATTTCCATACACCATTTATAGTTGACCTATTGCATATAGTATTAGAAAAAAAGACCAAAACTCAAAAACTTAACTTTGACCACTGAACCATGAAAATGAGGTCAAGGTCAGATGACACCTACCAGTTGGACATGTACACCTTACAATCATTCCATAAACCAAATATAGTAGACCTACTGCTTATAGTATCTGATATATGGAGTTGACCACAAAAACTTAACCTTGTTCACTGATCCATGAAATGAGATCGAGGTCAAATGAAAATTGTCTGACGTGCATGAGGACCTTGCAAGGTACGCACATACTAAATATAGTTATCCTATTACTCATAATTAGAAAGAAATTAACATTACAAAAAATGTTGACTTTTTTTTCAAATAGTCACTGAACCATGAAAATGAGGTCAAGGACAATGGACATATGACAGATGGAAACTTCCTAACATAAGGCATCTATATACAAAGTATGAAGCGTCCAGCTACTCTTTTCACAAAAAATCTTACGATTAAAATTGATCGTAAGTTATACTGAAATGTGTATGACTTACGAGCATTTTTACACTTAAGATTTTTTGTGAAAAGAGCCGCAGGTCTTTTAGCTTCTAAAATATAAAGCTTTTAAGAAGTTAGCTAACGCCGCCTCCACCGGATCACTATCCCTATGTCGAGCTTTCTACGACAAAAGTCTTAGGCTCGACAATAACACTATGTTCTAATTTCTGTTCTGGTAATTATTACATCAGCCAATGAAATTTCAGTATTCAGATTTTTTAAGGTATGTATCATTATGACTAAACCAGAGGATTCCAAAGGGTCTTTAAAACAAAATGTAGAAAGAAGAGCCTCCTCATGGGGTTTTTCATTATGTGATAAATTGGCTGTTTTTATATTGATTATTTGATTACCAGACCAAATATTTCATGATTATTTGATTATTTGATAATCTAGGGCTGTATAGCACTATCTTGTTTATAATAATAATTAATGATTATGTGATTATAATGGCAAAAAAAATTGTAATTATGTGGTTACTTGGACACCCCCATGAGGGGCCTCAAAGAAGCATTGTCAGATCCTTGTAGGCTAGTTACAGGGCCTTCATTTCAATCAGACTGTGCTAGAATATCAATATATCTGCATTACATGTGAAACTACACAAATAAAAGAATACTTGTTTAATGATGTCAAAGTTTTATTCTCATCACATGTGTACCATATAACAATCATATATTTTCCCTGGAATTAACCACTTAATGTTTTATTTGCAGTTTTAACTTAATATTAGCAATCATTTATAAATTAAAATTAAGGTTAAAAAAAAGGTTATACCTTACACAGACCTTTACAGATTAATGATATACATGGAAAATACCTTTGCCTTGCTTTATCAACTTCTTCAAATTTCAAGGTGGCACATATGATAAGAAAATATATTTAGAACATGTATTTGTGCTGACGAAAAATTTCTATGAAAATAGCAAAATATGGCTGAGGTAAATATTTCTTAATATATAATATTTGAAAGTACATTTCTTATAATATTTAATGGTGAATATACCTTGTTTGAAAATACCATTGATTAAGATCACTTTTTGATTAAAGATCAACAATTTTATTGTACTCTTAGTTCCTACTTCTCATGGTAGAATTGAACAATCATAAAACTACTGACAGAGATATTTTCTAGTTTATTAAAAGCTTGTTTTTGAAGACCTTTTTTATTTTGACATAATTTCAATGTACCATACATTCCCTACTGAAAAACTATAGGATTTAGTTAATATTGTAAATTCAAATTTAGACAATAGAAACTTATTCAATCAAATTTTTATAAGAAGTACAAACACGCCCACTGATAAGTTATTAGATAATCAATGGTATTTTTAAATGCTCTATATGTGCCAATGTATAATTTTTTCTTCATGACTTTAAGAATAAAATTAAGCTGCAAACATTAAAATAGTACCAGTTCAGTAAAAGGTGAGATAACTCCATACTACATCATAGAAGTGCAAGAAAAATCAGATTGACAAGTCCTAAACTATTGACATTTAATCAGTTTCTTACAAAATATTCAATTTGTAATTAAAACTTTTCCAGGAATCAAAATACAATATGACGAGAATATTTCAATGTGAGCAGTATCCTTTTTTTTTAATTTCAGCTTGGAATTTTAACCTGACACTTAAAACTGGTTTAAAGATTATATGGTTTGAAATGTATTAGTGAATACATATTGTTGGACATATAATTTCACAAAATTAGTTTAAATGGCCAAACAAATAATATATATATAGTAGTGGCATATATACATGTACGTACAAAATCTTGTCCAAGAATGTGCATAAAATAATGATAAAAGTATCATCTTAAAAAAAAATAAAAAACATAGTAAATGTTTATATGGTTTCATCATCTTAATACTAAAACATCCACATTAAAAAAAACTCAATAAAACCTCACATTCATGCAAACTTTCATTTCACACACCCTTGTTTTCTTTAATTATCTCCCTTGTTCAACCATGCAGTTTTTCATTAATATACCCACAATTCACTGTTTCAGAATCTCATTCAATCTGGGTAAGCAGAAACCAAATGTGATTGGTTGACAATGTTTTAACCAATGAATATGTAACCAATAGCTAAACATTATTTTAATTTTGGTGTATGAGCAATGAAATTACCCATAATACTTGAGATTCTTACACAGTTGATTCAACAGGTTACTCCTATCCATCTTCTATTATCCTCGATTAATTGACAATTTTCTGGTAGTCTAAACATCTCTCACTCTCATTTATTCATCACATGTCAATTCTCCAAATAATGGTGACTGTAAAATATCACAGAATTCAATTTTGTACTAAAATAACCAAATCTAAACCAGGTTCGTTTTAAAATTAATTAAACGGGTCTCTTTTAAAGTCTAAATACATATGTACAAGTAAAACTTAACAAAATAAAATAGAAATAACAAATGTGTTTTCTCATTTCTGAAATATACTTTTCCATGGTTACCGTTATCCAAAAGAGCCATAATTAAACATTACATTTTTGACATGATAAATATTTGTTTTGGTTTTGTCCTACGAAGAGTTCAATCATAATACAGCTTCAGGTATGCCAGTTTTCTGTGATATTTCTGTTCCTCTTTTGTACTGTACAACTGAAAAAAACAAAAACAAAATATTAAGATATAAAACACTTTAATTTTAGATGGAATGGTTGTACCAATGTATCTGGATTTTATTGAATGGCTTGAAATCCGAAAGATTGAATTCTCAACCAAAAATTTTGTTGTCAATTGATATAAAATTATCTAAATGGGAATTTAGAAAATTCAACATTCTTATTTTTTATGTCCAATTGTGTGGTTGCCTTAAAGGAAAAATTCTTATTTTTATCATACATGCAATCAAATGATAATTTTAAGGATATAAATGATAAAGAGAATATTGATAAACAATAAAAAGAATTCTGTCAACAGTATTAGGATTTAAGGTTTGAATGATTTTTTAAAAATGAAATATGAAAATCAACTATTGGTGCTGTTCAAAGGGGGGATAACTCTTCTTAAACTTAAACTTCTATTAAAACATAGCACTGTATTTTTGCGTGAACCCCTTAGGGTTCACACATATTTATTAGTTAGAAATATAGTCTATGGAGGAATATTCGGAAGCTAAATTATTGTTCATTCGGAACACCTATTCATCTTATCTGTATTAGCTTCCTGCAATTAAGAGCACCTCCATACGGTGTATCTAAGATATTTAAAACATGGCAATAAAGAATTTTCACAGATCACTAATTCACTTATCTGATATATGATAATAAACAATCTATAGATCCTTTTCAAACTTGTATATTTATTGTAAAGCTACATTTTATGCATTGCAAAGGTTTACTGACTTGAGCAAAGTTGACAGTTGTACCCTTTGATAAACAAGTGAAAGTTATATGGTCAAGATATAATTATAACGACCTATGGTATCAAACATCTGTGTCTAGATATTCACAGAGAGATATTTTAAAATAGTGCTGTGGTTTCTACATAATGAGTTATAGCTAGTGGGCTTTGGGATTTGATTTCCTACAATAACATCATTATGCACACTTGTCATTTTGACAAATCAGATAAAAAAAAATCTGTTTCAAATGAAAATAAAACAAGTAAAATAAAGACTGTTCGTTAGTATACATTTTTACAACTTTTACTGTTTCCTTTTTACAGTATTCTCTATCAATTAAGTTATCTTGTAAGTTAATTAAATGTTTATTTAATTCATTGATGTCACTATTATTTCAGTGACCGCTGCAGAAAGTCTTGACTCCTCCAAGAAACTACTGCATGCACATTAAATTTCAAGTCCCATGTTTTTATTTGCACCATGTATAAATGTTATGTACAGCACAAATTATTTCCTTTCTGTTAAAATCATTTTTGGACTTGTTAAGTATGCAAGCGCACACCAAACAGTGACAGGATAGTCAACCAAATGACGGTGGTCACTTAGTGGTAGAAGTAGAAATTTCTTATATTATTCACACACTGTAATGCTCTTAAATTTATGTGTATTTTGGAAGTGCACTAGTGATTGGTAAATATTGATACGTTTCTGTGTTTTTAATATATGTGACTTAACATCAAGAATTCCATTATTATGGAATCGTTCATTTTTGTACACTTCGGTATCTAAATAGAGGGTGGTAAAAGGGAGGGTCTGAACACGGAAACATGTGAAATAACAAATCGCAAAAACGTTGCATGGAAAACAAAACACTCTGGAAAAACGAAGCCAAGGAATAAAATCGTAACTATTAAGGAAAAAAGTACCAAAAGTTATTACTCAGCCGTTCTTGGAGATCATGCAGTCATTAAAAATGGACATGGCGACCCTGCATGTGGTCACCTTTTAGCGTCCGTTAGTTGCATCCCATTTATCATAGTAATACAATAGGCTATTAATAAATATCTTGGTACCAGTTAATTAGTTTATAATTTAAAACAATATTTGGGCTGACTTTGAATTTTAGTCCCGGTTTACGTTTTAATCAAATGCGGGACAAGCACGAGAAAATAATAGAACCGACATGAAACACGGAAAATAATTAAGGGAAAACATGAAGCACCCACATCGAACCAAACACCAGAAAACGATAAACAAGAGTGCACACACTGAAATGTCTCGCCTTCTTTACTAACCATTGATTTTATGTTGATAGTCCTAAATATAAAGCTTTACTACAAGTAACACATAAACTTAACATGATCCAAGAAAATGAGGTCAAGGTCAGATAAACCAAACGAGAAATACATGTACACCTTACAATCATTCAATAAACCAAACATAGTTGACCTATTGCTTATAGTTTCTAAGAAACAGTCTTAACCAAGAAAACTTAACATTGACCAATGAACCATGAAATGAGGTCAAGGTCAGATGAACCATGCCAGGCAGACATGTACACCTTACAATCAATTTATGCATTAAATATAGTTGACCTATTGCTTATAGTATCTAAGAAACAAACTTTAAACCATTAAAACTTAACATTGACCAATGAACCATGAAAATGAGGTCAAGGTCAGATGATACCTGCCAGACAGACATATACACCTTACAATCCTTCCATACAACAAATATAGTTAATCTATTGCTTATAGTTGAAGAAAAACAGACCAAAACACAAACCCTTAACACTGAGAAATGAACCGTGAAAATGAGGTCAAGGTCAAATAAAACCTGCGAGACTGACATGCACATCATAAAATATTTCCATACACCAAATATAGTTGACCTATTGCATATAGTATCAGAAAAAAAGACCAAAACTCAAAAACTTAACTTTGACCACTGAAACATGAAAATAAGGTCAAGGTCAGATGACACCTACCAGTTGGACATGTACACCTTACAATTATTCCATATACCAAATATAGTAGACCTACTGCTTATAGTATCTGATATATGGACTTGACCGCGAAAACTTAACCTTGTTCACTGATCCATGAAATGAGGCCGAGGACAAATGAAAATTGTCTGACGGGCATGAGGACCTTGCAAGGTACGCACATACTAAATATAGTTATCCTATTACTCATAATAAGAAAGAAATTAACATTACAAAAAATGTTGACTTTTTTTTCAAGTAGTCACTGAACCATGAAAATGAGGTCAAGGACAATGGACATATGACAGACGGAAACTTCGTAACATAAGGCATCTATATACAAAGTATGAAGCATCCAGGTCTTCTAGCTTCTAAAATATAAAGCTTTTAAGAAGTTAGCAAACGCCGCCACCGCCGCCGGATCACTATCCCTATGTCGAGCTTTCTGCAACAAAAGTCGCAGGCTTGACAATAAAACGTCGAAACACGAAAACATGTGAAATAAAATGGCTGAAAACGTTGCACGAAAATAACCCTTTACCACCCTCTAAATAGGCCATACTAGATGTCGACACCTCATATTAGAACTTAAGTAGATGGTCAATTTTGTTTGCAAGGTTAAAGAAGTCTTCAACTTGCTCTAATTTGCCTGTGAAGACCATAAAACCGTCATCCCTATTGATAGTGTAATTTGATGTTTTCTCTCCATTGGAACGTATCTAAGATTTTAATGAGTACAAATTAATAAGCCTGGTTGGTACGCTCCTATAATGTGTTTGTATAACAGTCCATTAAACTCAAATTCATTGTTTCTTAGAATTAATTTAACAAATACAGTCAAATCTATTTTGTTGAGAATCTTTAAAGTATATTCTCCTGTGTGTCAATAAATTCTAATGCATTGATAACAATATCTTCTAAATTGTCAATGATCATATTTGTGTAAATTGACGTACATCATAGGCAATAAGAATGCATACTTTTTTACCTCTTGTGACTATTTTATTAATGATTTTTTTTGTATCTTGAATGTAAAAGTTATGACTCTTCAATAATTGGATGTGTACTAATTGATAATTTAGTCTTAGATGCATGAATTTTTTAATTAGTTGTTAGTGGCTTTGAACTAGCTGTCAGTAACTGCTAGTACTCTCAGTCTTTAGTGTCTATTTGTTGTTGGGATATACAAGTACCCGGCCACATCCACTCTGTGTAGTATTACTGTTTGTATCCATCTGATGAGTTAAGCCTTTTTCAACTGATTTTTATAGTTCGTTCTTATGTTGTACTGTTACACAACTGTCCCAGGTTAGGGGAGGGTTGGGATCCCGCTAACACGTTTAACCCCGCCACATTCTGTATGTATGTGCCTGTCCCAAGTCAGGAGCCTGTAATTCAGTGGTTGTCGTTTGTTGATGTGTTACATATTTGGTTTTCATTCATTTTTTGTACATAAATTAGGCCGTTAGTTTTCTCGTTTGAATTGTTTTACATTTGTCATTTCGGGGCCTTTTATAGCTGACTATGCGGTCATTGTTGAAGGCCGTACGGTGACCTATAGTTGTAAATTTCTGTGTCATTTGGTCTTTTGTGGAGAGTTGTGTCATTGGCAAGCCTACCACATCTTCTTTTTTATATTTATAATTAGATCAAGTAAGTATCTCTCGCCAGAGAGTTACACTTATTGATGATTGGTCGGTAATGAACATTAATGTGTCCTCCTAGCTGACCAGTTCACAATGCCTCATTACTTATTATGTTTTGAATTATTATTATTCTTTAAGAAATTATACGTCTGGGAATCTTTTTTTTTTCTCTCCTTGCTTTAAATTTAACACTTCTCTCAACATGCCAAAATTGTAATGATTTACAATAAAAAGAAAATATTATCCTCCACACATATGGCCAAGATAACACTTTTTCAGTTTTTTTAAAAAAGCAACTTGTTACCTTATCTGTATTTTTGTTGATTGTACTCTGTACGGTAATTGAGGGCATTAAGATAGGTGTTCCGCCAAATGATTGATGCCACTGAACTTTTCTGTTTTTTGGTATTTCATGTTCATACGTCCCAGCCCTGAGGATATAAAATTGAATTCATAACACATTGACAGTACTAGTGATATAAAAAGTAATACATGACAGATGCTTTAGCAAGTGTAACTTTTTTACCATATATAACTAAAATTCATAATAACTTTAAAATAAAATCAACTAATCACACACAATTTAACCAAGGTTCAATATTTGATATATTTTCTTCAATTTTCCTCAAAGTATGTTAAATGTTTACAAATTCAAAATTCAAGTAACTAATACAGGTCACTTATTTTTTAGAAATACAATTTTAACATTTGAATATAGATTGTATAAAGGAAAACTTTTCTTTGGAAAATAAAAGATGAACTTATCAATAAAAATTGGTAACATTTTATTACACACAAAAGGAATGATTGGGTTCCATGCTATGAAAGGTGAAATTTAAAGAAAAAAAAAACAATGTTTGGGTTGAGGATAGGACACATACTACTGATTATTCATGTTTTAAATTGGACAATGCACTTATAAACTGAATAAAAGTCTTTTTGTCGAGTCTGTGACTTTTGTCGCATAAGCGAGACATTGGGATCCCACGGCGTCGGCGGCGGCAGCCACAAACATTCACTCTGTGGTTAAAGTTTTTCAAATTTTAATAACTTTCTTAAACTATCCTGGATTTCTACCAAACTTGGACAGAAGCTTGTTAATGATCATAAGATAGTATCCAGAAGTAAATTTTGTAAAAAAAAAATCCTGTTAATCGGTATTTTACTCATAAATGGACTTAGTTTTTCTGCCAGTTAACATTACATTCACTCTGTGGTTAAAGTTTTCAAAATTTAAATAACTTTCTTAAACTATACTGGATTTGTACCATACTTGGACAGAAGCTTGTTTATGATCAAAAGCTAGTATCTAGAAGGAAATTTTGTAAATAAAATTCCTGTTTTTTCGTATATTACTTATAAATGGACTTAGTTTTTCTTCCGTTAACATTACATACAGTCTGCAGTTAAAGTTTAAAAAATATTTATTAGATTCATAAACCATCCTGGATTCTTACCAAACTTGAACAGAAGCTTCTTACATTCAAAAGATAGTATCTAGAGGAAAATTTTTAATAATTATTTCCCCATTTTTGTTGAGCTTGCGACTAACAGCAAAAGAAGCCGAGACACTGGGTTCCGCAGAACCCTTAAGAATTTTTTAGTGCATTGTCCCATTTTACACATCAATAACCTCTAGAAAATGTGTTTAATCTTATAATGATTTTATGCGAATCATATTCACAATTTTCTCTTAATTGCCACATTAATGAAAATGAACAAATTGCGAAAATTATAATCTAACAATATTTAAGAAGTCTGGATATCTTCAGAAAAGAATACCCAGAAGAGAGTCTGTATAAACCTACCCTGGTAATACATCTACAATATCTCTTTTGTATATTGGAAATCTGTCTGCTCCTACTAAAAATGGTTTGTTATCTGTTTCAAATGTTTGTAGATCTGTGTTGTTTTTCTGGTAGCTTGTTGGACAAGGTGTTCTAAACTAAAAAAATACATATAACTGAATTACAATGTATCAAAAAGTTCATTTCTGATATAATAAAAATATAATAATCTAAATTTAAGGAGATAAGATGATGATGCTGGATAGTTTTTTAATGTCCAGTGGCAAATTAAATGCATAGTCAGTTTTTTCGTTTTTTGCCATGGCATTGTGAGTTTGTTTTAGACGTATGAGTTTGAATGTCCCTTTGGTATCTTTCCCATCTCTTTTTCAGGTTGAGAACATGTTAATGAGAAGTATATATATGAACCCTGCTTTGAACTAAGTCTAAAGCAATTCGATTTTGGGGATTTTTAATGTGCTAGTTTACAAGGTGATTAAAGTCTGCAAGAAAAAATGTCATCCTATCCAATCACCTAATTATGTCCAATCAACCAGTCTTTGCTGTCACTCCTAAATGCTGTATGCTTTATAGGGGGAAAAGGAACCAGCAATTATCAATTTTCAAGTCTTTTGTTTGACCTGACCCAGTATCCAACCCACAACCACCCACACTTGAGACAAACACTCCATCACAGGACCATGTATAATCATGATAATGTTAAAGATTGAGATTTAAACCAGACCTTAAATCTGGTCAACATGTAACTACACAAACGTAAGAGTGCAAAAATTTACATAATACTGCTTATCTTGGTAATGACATGGGAAGTATATATTCAGTTGAACTTCATTAATGGCAAAAACAGAACCTATTCTGATCAACTGTTTAAGTGTGAGTAACCATCAAAGAAACAATTTACTTCCAGACTGTAGTGTTTTATCCAGTTTACAGCCGATTTCATTGAGTGTGTAGGCAAAGGTAATATCTTTGGTTAGCTTGCTTGCTAGCTGAACCGTGAAGTCATTATTAGGTTAGGTAAACTACCCTCCTTTAAGAGTAGACTAGTCCGACAGATAACCAATGTATCTGTCTGTTGGACTAGGCTACTTCGAAAGGAGGGTAGTATACCTGACCTAATAATGACTTCACGGTTCAGCTAACAAGCAAGCTAAACAAAGATATTACCTTTGCCTACACACTCAATGAAATCGGCTGTAAGATCTCTCATCTCAATCAATTACTGGTTTTCAAAAGTGTTATTTTCTAAATAATTTATAAAAGTATAGCCAGGAACCAATATAAACGGCCCAGTAAAGGTGTTTTTTTTTTAAATTCAATTATTTAAGTAAAACTTCTGTGTATGTGTTAACGTTTTTAAATGCATTCTGCTTAAAAGTATGATAAACTGTTAACACAGAGATATGTCTGGCCTTTTTGTTATTTTGATAGTAAAATGCAAGTGTTGAAATAAAAATAGCAATTCTTTAACATGAAAGTTATAAAAAATATTCAAAGTCAATGAACAATAACTGAGGGGGCGGGGCCAAATAATTTCTATTGAAATTAGATGTGCCAATGCTTATTCAACTGCATGCTATATATCATTGACCTGCCACTAGTGGTTGCCCATAAACTGACCTAATTACAAACTAATACATGTAAACTAAACAAGTTTAAAAGTCAATAGACCATGACTGAGGGGGTGGGGCCAAATAATCTCCATGGTAATGAAATGTGCCAATGCTAATACAACTGCATACCAAATATCATTGACCTACCATTAGTGGTTCACCATAAACTAGACCTAATCACAAACTAATACATTGATGACGCCGTCACCGCCGCCGGAAAAGGCATAACTATGTCTCGCTTTTTGACTCTGTCAAGGCGAGACAATAATAAAAATTGTATATCTGGTTCATATCCATAAATTTTATAAGTCTGAAATAGGAATAGATTTCATTTTGTCTATGTTCCTAGAAATTTGTACATTGTTTCCACCTTTTTCATTATTTTATATGTGGCGCCGCCCTTGCTAATTGAAATTTTTTTTTGAGAATTAAAGAATATGGTATACAAAGAATATATATCAGCAAAAATATTTGTGGGCGAAGGGTGACGCCACTTTTAATTTTTCAGAAAACTGTCATAAAATTTGCAGAATTCTGCAAAAGAACGGTTATAACAAAATTCCCCTAAACTTACGATGCAATTTTGGTGAAAATCGATTTAAGCTGAAACAATTGGACATTTTAAGATATATGTTTTCATCAAATTTTTAACACATTAACACAGTGAAAAATTTAAGATGTTTAGGGCCAAAATTAATTGTTAGTGAACCAACTTCTTTCTTTAGAACCATTTTAACCAACTTACCACATAATCTCTCCGTATCCTAGGTCCTGTTCTAGCTCCCATTGAATAACCTTTGTTGCTTAAAAGCTTTGTGTCGACTTGGTAAATAAAATTGGTTTTCTACAATAAAAGTGGACAATCATTAAAAAATATAAAAGTAATCTTTAAAGGAACATTTAAGCTACAAGTTTTACAATATAAGTTGAAATAAATAAATAAAATTGAGAATGGAAATGGGGAATGTGTCAAAGAGACAACAACCCGACCACAGAACAGACAACAGCAGAAGGCCACCAACAGGTCTTCAATGCAGCGAGAAATTCCCGCACCCGGAGGCGTCCTTCATCTGGCCCCTAAACAAATATATATACTAGTTCAGTGATAATGAACGCCATACTAAACTCCAAATTGTACACAAGAAACTAAAATTAAAAATAATACAAGACTAACAAAGGCTAGAGGCTCCTGACTTGGGACAGGCGCAAAAATGTGGCGGGGTTAAACATGTTTATGAGATCTCAACCCTCCCCCTATACCTCTAGCCAATGTAGAAAAGTAAACGCATAACAATAAAAAGTATGTTTTGTTTTGGACTTTAAACATTTACAAGGAAGAAAATTCACTGAATATTATAATAATGATTCATTATAAGAAATCAGTTTGATTAAAATATTTCATCAAAATAAAAATCCAAAAACATTGATGGTACATAGTGCTAAATGGACTTGCAAGACAATAATTTGAGACCTCATTTAGATCCATACATGTATATATGCATGCAACCTTTAATTTGACCTTAGTTGGAAATTATTAACTGCATGTGCTCAGCAAGATGTAAAAGCTGTAAAAGTAAAAATTAAAGTCAAACTGGTAGATCAATTTTATATATGAAAAAAATTCTCATACAGGTTACAGGGTAAACGTTGATGTAGTTAATGTTTTTTTTATCTATAATATGAAATCAAAGAAAAATCTTCATTATAATATCATGAATATTGCAACTACTTGCTACAGTATCATTTTTTTTTCTATTCAAATTCATCTTTTTATATTTATATATACATATGCAAATCAGCAATCTTGAAAGGAAATGTTGAAGGCTAAATATATGGCACCTGAGGTCCCAAAATGTTGAAAGTTTTTACAATTTCATGCTAATTGTTTATTGCTTTCAATGTGACTTTTTTTAATTCTAAATTTTGAAAGTAAGAGTCAATTCCTGTAATAACAATTTTTCTGAATCTAAAGTACTCTACAAAATGTAGGTTACATTTTCCAAAGCATGCATGTACAGGACAAAAAAATGGGATTTAATTAAAAATACCTTTGTTGATACATGTACAGAAGAACGTGCATGTAGCAAAGTAAAAAAAAACTTACTTCCTCATTCTCATAACAACCAGGGCCTCTGTGTGGTGCTCCTCTTAAAGGTGCTATTTCATTCCCAAAACGATTCCTAGGCATTTTGATTGGGAACAGCTCTCTATCCAGAGTAGTCATGAATGAAATTTTTGTTGGTTTTTTGTCTACTAAAATATAAATCAAATACATGAAATTTTACAATTTCATTTTTATGATTATCAATATTAAAAAATGTTTACAAATGACAGTATTAACTAAAAAGTTAATTCTTGATTATAATTTTGTAAGAAAAGTGCATATAGTCAACAAAAATAGTTCTTCTGAGGTCAAATGCACTTAAGTTCAATAAACACAACAAAGAATACAAAAAACATTGTCTTTTTAATCATCTCTAAAGTATTTTGGTGAGGATTAATTAAGATCATAGTTGATAGACGATTTGATTAAACCCTGACAGAATAATAATAAGCTGACTTGGCATCTTTGTGATTTTAAGGTATAATTAAACTTTTCATTATATATTAATTTAATACAACAGGACCAACATTGAGTATGTTTGCATATTCAGTTGAAGATAGCAAGTTTTAAAACAGAAATTGTTTCTCTTTGAAATTTGGTAAAACAATTAATTTTTTATTCAGCCCTCAGTCATGAAGCCAATGATGCATCTCCAAAGTTTAATAATAAGATTCTAAATCGTTTAAATGTACATTTTAGTTTTACTTTTGCAAAAATAAGTATTTGAAACATTACACAGTGGAATCACTTTCTTCCATGCAGCCTGTGATATTATGTATTGCCTGATTTCCACAATGTTAAATAATTGCTAAACAACCCAAAATTCTGTAATGAAGAATCACTAAATTTCATCCATAATTATTTTTGTTTTAATTTCTCCACATTTTTAAAACAATTTGACAATAGTCAGTCAGGGGTACTACTTGTACAAGTAATCTTTATTTACTTGAAGAAGTAAATAAAATATACTTATATAAGTTAATTATAATGTTTGAATAATCTCCCCTTATTTTTCTAAAAAAATTACTTGTATAAGTATTTTTTTTTACATTCCCACAAAAATTCTCAAGTTTTGAGATGTAAAAACATGCCTTTAACAATTTTTCTCAGGTTAGCTCATAATTTTTTATTAGAGTTCAATGTTTCATCTCATTAATTCAACAAAGAAACTGATTGCATGCGCAAAGATCTTAAGTATTTGCGCAAGGCCTTCAAAAATTGCCCCTTGAGGGCTTGTAAATGTGCAGTGTTCTGAAGATAACAGACAAATGAGATTTTCATTGTCCATGAAATTACATGTACACTTAAATGATTAGTAAAGACATATGCAAAGGACAGACAATTAAGAATTCTAAAGAAGTCCTAAGAATTCAAGAAAAGAAGATAGGATGACTTTTTTACCTGTATACATGTAAGTAAAAAAATCTGAATGTCTAAGGGACATAAATAAGCCAATTTTTTTTTACCTATAGAAGTAAATAAAATACACTTGTATAAGTATCCTACAAATTTACTTATATAAGTATATTAATATTTACTTCTTCAAGTAAATAAAAATTACTTGTACAAGTAGTACCCCTGACTGATAGTCCATGCTTACTATACATTTTGTAAGGAATGGACGACTGCGACATATTTTAACTTTTGTGGATGTTGATTTGCATGCAACGTTTCTACAAATTTTACTTTTTTCAATGGATAATTCATCTGTTGACATATAGTGTGTATTTTTACGTATTCAATTAAACCACGCTGAATTCACCTTATTGCTATTTGCCATTACTGGCCATCACAGTCATTCCTGTAATACTCTTTACATCATAATATCTGACGCAACAATGCAAAAGTGGTTGTTGTAGGACATAAATAATTCAAGTGTCGCAAAATCTAGTATGTTTGCACCCTACACATTCGCCCCCCTACATGAAGTTCACACCCTTTTTTTAATTTCAAATACAGGTTTAATTACTAGATGGTCTTTTCTATAGATTTATATATCCAAATATTTATATTTTCATGAACAAAATTCATAAATTTTCTGAATGAAATTAATAATTATTGTTTTTTGTGATTAGATGATTAATTCTTAAATGTTAATTATTTATGATTACTGTTAATTGGTATTTACAAAGCTAATTTGGTATTATTATGTGTTTGAAAATCATGATTGTTTTTATAACTATAGCTTTTCTTTCAAATCGCAAATTGAAATTCCACTGGCCAGCTTGGCGAGTGATTTACTTTTGGGACTTGCCATCTTTTTCATACATAATTATTAAAACATATTATTCCATTCAACTAACTAAATGTATGTACTTATGTACATTATTTTAATTTATAACTGGTAACTTGACTATTTAAATTACTATTTACATGTATAGTAGTCTCAGTTATATAAGGGAGCAGTCAACTTATCTTGTGATTACCTTAGAACAGGGGTTTCAAATACATTTTAACCACAACTGACAAGTCAAAATTTATTTTTTTGTCATAACCAGACTTCCTTATTCCAATGATTATGGATAAATCTTAGTAAAAGTGCTGGAGTTATTGATCAGCCTTTTCTACTATAATTATTACATTTTTTATTTAAAAAAACATGAATAATTACATTGTTCTGCACCAAGGGCCTTTTTATGTTTAGTTTCTGGTTTTGCTTTTTTATTTAGTTCCTTTTGTTTGTTTTAAAAATTATTTAGCCTTAAAAACTATTCCATTTTGACATTACTATTTCATAAATGCCTCCAGATTGAACTTGTTGACCATTCAGAAAAGTATCAATAAAATGCTTCACTGAGCACAGCTGGATACGACTGCAGAGGTCCAACCCTGAACAGTTGGGGCAAAAATGGACACAATATTCGTGCTTAATACAGGTCTGAATTTGGATTGTAATTAAATATTTGAAAACATAATAGGTTTCTGACACAGAATAACTGTAGTCAAAGAACTTAGAATTTTTTATATGATTTGAATTTATATTCAATTTTTTGCTTTTGTGCAATACACTATGCTGTTGTGAATTGACCCCCCCCCTTATTTTTGCTTTTGTGCAATACACTATACCCCTCCCTTTTTTTGCAAAAAAAAAATAATATTTGAAGAAATTTTCTTTTTTGATTTCTGAAATCTGAAATGAAAAAAAATTGCCCCCCCCCCCCTTTTCAAAAAAAATAATTCTTTCCCTCAAGATATGGTCATAATCTCAATTCAAATTTCCAATGGAGTTTGCAACCATAATTACCAATTAAATTCATCATAATGAAAATGAATCCCAACTCCGATCCGTAGTTGTACAATAATTTGCCCAATAATTTTAATGGCGGACGAAGAAAATTTACAATAAATAAACGATGTTTGACACGCTATTTGAAAAGGAATATGACGTTTTTAGTGCAATATATGGATAACAAATTTACTTCAGGCAAATTTCATCACGTTCTAATGAAGTAACAAACTTATTTTGCTGAAAGTAAGAATGATTTGATGTACGCTCTCGAGTAACAAGTACCACCCAGAAGTGATAAAAAAATTGACATTATGAAAATAACATGCAACCAACTTTAAAATCAATGCTTTAACCTCTTTTCTAAAGAAAATAAATCGTTTATGTCTTTGAATTTCTTTACTTTTTAATGAAAAATTGCTGTTTCATCGACTTGGTAAATATTGCCGATGATGTAAGCGAGTATCATGAACAACAGGGCGACTAGATTTCGCTTTTGGCGGTGGGGGAAAGTGAAGTGACGTACAGGAAAGCGACTTTGTCGCCTGCTAGCATGATCCCTGGGTCATCATAATAATGTTTTAGTTTGCCAATCACGATAAATAAACTGTTTAGGAGCTAGTAATATCATTTCTAGTAACACAGCACATTGAAATTAGTTCAACATTCTAAAAATTCAGGATCCTTTGACAATATAAGGCCTGACTGACAACTGTCAAAATACTTCAACTGGCCATAGAATTTTTTTTTCCTTGCCAGTTGAAGTATTTTATATCACTTGCCATATTCGTTTCTTACTCGCCTTTGGCAAGTTGACGAGCAGAGGTTTCACACAATGCAATTTCATTGTGACGAGCTGTTTGATATCTTCTGCCTCTCTTTTACAAATTTATCTTACATGAGTGAACTTGGTATTTGATCATCATGGCAATATTTATTCTTCATTTCGTCAAAATAATTCACAGAACACTAAGGGAAACCTGTTTACATTTTTAGACAGTCACTATTTAAAAACAATAAAAAAAAATTGGCATTAATACCGGTTTTTATAATAGCATATATACATGTATGTAAGAAACATGATTTAAACAATATTCAAAACAAAACCTTTGAAAAAGGATGAGAATATGTAGGGTGTGAAGCGAATGTGATTTTAGGTGAAACCAACCCAGGTTCGCAAAATCTGGGGTCAAGACTCAGGTGTTGCAAATTCCAAAGTACATGTAGCATATAATGACATGATAAAATTGAGAATGGAAATGGGGAATGTGTCAAAGAGACAACAACCCGACCATAGAACAGACAACAGCAGAAGGTCACCAACAGGTCTTCAATGCAGCAAGAAATTCCCGCACCCGGAGGCGTCCTTCAGCTGGCCCCTAAACAAATATATATACTAGTTCAGTGATAATGAACGCCATACTAAACTCCAAATTGTACACAAGAAACTAAAATTAAAAATAATACAAGACTAACAAAGGCTAGAGGCTCCTGACTTGGGACAGGCGCAAAAATGCAGCGGGGTTAAACATGTTTATGAGATCTCAACCCTCCCCCTATACCTCTAGCCAATGTAGAAAAGTAAACGCATAACAATACGCACATTAAAATTCAGCTTGCTTGGGAAATTAACTTTGACATCATGCAACAATCACTTATTGCATGATTATGACATCATTTTTTTTTTAATTGTGATACAATATTTTACGGGAAACTTGTGTGATTTTAAGTAATGGTAGACAAATTTACATAAAAGTGAAAATACGTCTCTTGAATTTAAGTTGAAAACAGGTTAACATTGTCAGTCAACATTTTACTTGTTTAATGCATTTATTTAACTTTTAACTAAAGTGTGTTACCTTCCATGATTATTGGTTATTTGTACACCAGATTAATGTTAATATATCAATAAAATCTGTGTAGTATTTCATGTGATATTTCTTATTATTTGCACAGTACTGGCATCAGTGTTGCTATGCAAATGCGCATGGCCGTTATTTACTTCCGTTTTTCTATTGTCGTAAATTAGACAGTTTGCGGTAAATGTCGCAATATTATTCACAGTCATAAAAAAAGTCATTTCAATATAAAATTTAGGTAAATACGAAAAGTAAGTTAATAGATACATCATATCTATAGCAAAATCTTCATGTTATTATTCTTAAGATTCCTTTTCCGTTTTCTTCCGTCTTCAAAGTATATTCCTTTTTCTTCTTTGACTTTGAAAGAAAGTTACCGGCATCACAGTACATGATCTGATGATGTGCTATCATAATTATACATTGGTTTTACATATCAGATGCTAGACTGAATAAAAAATCAATATGGCACAAATTAGTTCTTAAACATTCAAACAATTGTAATCGTCATCAGATAGTCAGAAGCCTCAAAAGTTAGCACAGTAAAAGAAACAAATTATTAATTAAAGTAGTAGACAACAACATCAAGCTTTCCGAAATGTGTCAGTTACTCAGACAAGCCTGACAATCATGCTTGATGGGCAGACAAATATTTGCAACTCACCAGTCATGTGCTCTGGTAACAAAAATGTATTATCTAAGACTAAGGATCCAGTCAAATCCACCAATTATGAATGATTTACAACTGTTAACCTGAGTTCAATCGGTGTAGACAACGTGAATCCGGGTCCGTTCGCCCTGATTCACCTGTGCCCTAGTACCTGTTCGCCCTAATACCATTTGAATACCTGTTCGCCCAGAGTCCATTCGCCCAGTTTTATTTTTTTTTTATTGTTGTCTAGCTGGAAAATTTTTATTATTTTAACAGAGTATGCTTAAGTTTGTTGAAAAATTCGCCGAATATTTGTATTGCTGTAACCAAATAATTATTTTCCTTTGATTTGCATAGTAGAATACTGGATTACATTGTATTTATCTTTATTGATATTTGTTAACAATTCTAATAATTCAGTCAATTTATGCAGTATATATAATAATAAATGAACTTATAAATCCTTTTCATGTTTTACAATTCGTGCAGCATTGTTTTAACTCATTCTAAGCTGACTAATTTATCAAAACAAAATGTTGTTTTTATTATTAATCCATCCAAGGGTTTGTATAATCAAAGACAATTATAACAACAATCCGTGAGAATTATCATTTTGAACAATTATAATGCTCCAAAACAAGCCATCAACTTTCAAATATTTCAATGTGTTTTCATGAATTTCGAGAATTTATACCATATAAATATCTGAATAAGTTTTTTAAACTTAAATAACCTTTATAATAATATTTTCTAACAAAAGTAGCGAGAACGAACCCAGGGCGAACGGACGCTACAGGCGAATGAACCCAGGGCGAACATGTAATCAGGGCGAACGGACCCAATACCAGACAACGTCATCAAACAATCAGTTTTTACTGTGACATAGGATAAAGGAAAATGCACAAATTTGAAAGTAACTCTATTTGCCTGTCAATATGGTCAAAACCTAATCTGAAAGGCCAATGCCAGCAATGGCGATTTATGTCATGAAAAATTTGTACATTGATAATTTCGGTCTTTTCATTAAGTTCAGTTTATTAAATTGCCACATTGCACTTATTTTTGTTTGCAATGCATTTCTGGTAATATAAATGCCACTCTAGTTTACAGGTAACATGGGTAATGGACAAGATGTTTTCAATAAATGTATATATATATATATATATAGAAGTCTATAAAAAGGACCAACCAGCAAATTTACTATGTACCGGATCGTCTAGAATAGACGATACTGTGCAGATAAGGAAAAAATTATATAAGTCTAGAGATTTGCACAACGATACTAATATAAGATGGTATTATACGAAGATGTTGTTAATAAATCGTGTTGACAAATATTTCGGCTTAACAAATAGCCTTCTTCGGTGTCAATTATTTTAACAATACTGATAATATGTATAAAAATAGCTCAATAATACAGGTAAGTTTTGTTCTATTGATTTAATCCAAAATCCTGAACATCATAATATAAAACAAAACTCAATACTCAAATATACGTGACTGTGTATATTTACAACCCAAAATGAGTGAAAAATAAAACTTAGTATTTTTTATTGATGCCGTTTGGATGATGTACATTTAGTTCCTTTATCCAAAAGCTTTCCCGAACCTGTCGCTGGGCATCACTCCAGTGAATGTTCTGTTCAATCACTAGGATCTTCATGCGGTTAAAGTCATCAAGTGTGTGACCAGACTGTCTGAAATGCTGAGAAACTGGGAGAAGTGGCTTCTTAGAGATATCACTCCTATGGCCATTGAGGCGTTTGTGGAAAGGCTGCTTTGACTCACCAACATATTGGAGGCCACAAACCGAACATTCTAGAATGTAAATAACATTCATACTTTTGCAGTTAACATTGCAAAATATCTTATAGTTATTTTCGGTTGCCTTACTGTGAAAAGTTGATGAGTGATGCATCTGTAGGCAGCATTTGCAGCGTTTTTCATCACACGAACGACATTCTCCAGAAGTACTTCTATTATCAGACACTTCAGCCCGCACCAGCAGGTTACGCAGACTATTGGGTTGCCTAAAAGCTATCATGGGAGGCTCGGGAAAAATCTTGGATAGTTTGGAATTCTTTTCAACTGTTTTCCAATGCTCACGAATGACACCGAAGCTGTTTTTGAGAGATGGGTGGTAAGTAAGAACACATGGAGTCCTTTTATTTTTCTTTTTATATTTGTATTCTAACAGTTTACTCCTTGGAATAGTTTCCGCTTTCTGAAAGCCTTTTTGGATAGTTTTGTGTTTGTAGCCCCTTCTCTTCAAGCGGGTTTTGAGTTGACGTAGTTGTTTTTTAGTTGTTTCTGAGTTGGAACATATTCGCTTGACTCTGAGTGCCTGACTGTACGGGATGCTCTTAGTACAATGAGCAGGATGGCAACTTTTAGGGGACAGATATTGGTGAGTGTCAGTAGGCTTAGAATATAGATCAGTGGATATGATGCCATCTGTGAGCGAGCTGGAGGTATCGAGGAAGGTGATTTTGGATTTAGATTTCTCATGAGTAAATTTGATACTTGGATGTATGTTGTTAGCATGAGTGATGAATGTATCTAAATCCTCGTCACTTTTATTCCATTTCATATCCACATCATCTATAAATCTAAACCAGGAAAGCGGTTTTTCGATGGAAGATTCAAGGAGTTGTTTTTCTAATTTGCCCATAAATATGTTGGCATATGATGGAGCCATTTTGGTGCCCATAGCAGTTCCATTAACTTGCAGATAATGGTCTCCATCAAAAGTGAAGTTGTTGTTTTTGAGTACCAGCGTGAGCATTTTGACCAGGCATTCAGTAGGTGGATATTTCACTGGTCGGGAATTCCAAACTTCTTTACATGCATCAATGCCATCTGCATGTGGAATATTCGTGTAGAGGGAATGGCTCCATCATATGCCAACATATTTATGGGCAAATTAGAAAAACAACTCCTTGAATCTTCCATCGAAAAACCGCTTTCCTGGTTTAGATTTATAGATGATGTGGATATGAAATGGAATAAAAGTGACGAGGATTTAGATACATTCATCACTCATGCTAACAACATACATCCAAGTATCAAATTTACTCATGAGAAATCTAAATCCAAAATCACCTTCCTCGATACCTCCAGCTCGCTCACAGATGGCATCATATCCACTGATCTATATTCTAAGCCTACTGACACTCACCAATATCTGTCCCCTAAAAGTTGCCATCCTGCTCATTGTACTAAGAGCATCCCGTACAGTCAGGCACTCAGAGTCAAGCGAATATGTTCCAACTCAGAAACAACTAAAAAACAACTACGTCAACTCAAAACCCGCTTGAAGAGAAGGGGCTACAAACACAAAACTATCCAAAAAGGCTTTCAGAAAGCGGAAACTATTCCAAGGAGTAAACTGTTAGAATACAAATATAAAAAGAAAAATAAAAGGACTCCATGTGTTCTTACTTACCACCCATCTCTCAAAAACAGCTTCGGTGTCATTCGTGAGCATTGGAAAACAGTTGAAAAGAATTCCAAACTATCCAAGATTTTTCCCGAGCCTCCCATGATAGCTTTTAGGCAACCCAATAGTCTGCGTAACCTGCTGGTGCGGGCTGAAGTGTCTGATAATAGAAGTACTTCTGGAGAATGTCGTTCGTGTGATGAAAAACGCTGCAAATGCTGCCTACAGATGCATCACTCATCAACTTTTCACAGTAAGGCAACCGAAAATAACTATAAGATATTTTGCAATGTTAACTGCAAAAGTATGAATGTTATTTACATTCTAGAATGTTCGGTTTGTGGCCTCCAATATGTTGGTGAGTCAAAGCAGCCTTTCCACAAACGCCTCAATGGCCATAGGAGTGATATCTCTAAGAAGCCACTTCTCCCAGTTTCTCAGCATTTCAGACAGTCTGGTCACACACTTGATGACTTTAACCGCATGAAGATCCTAGTGATTGAACAGAACATTCACTGGAGTGATGCCCAGCGACAGGTTCGGGAAAGCTTTTGGATAAAGGAACTAAATGTACATCATCCAAACGGCATCAATAAAAAATACTAAGTTTTATTTTTCACTCATTTTGGGTTGTAAATATACACAGTCACGTATATTTGAGTATTGAGTTTTGTTTTATATTATGATGTTCAGGATTTTGGATTAAATCAATAGAACAAAACTTACCTGTATTATTGAGCTATTTTTATACATATTATCAGTATTGTTAAAATAATTGACACCGAAGAAGGCTATTTGTTAAGCCGAAATATTTGTCAACACGATTTATTAACAACATCTTCGTATAATACCATCTTATATTAGTATCGTTGTGCAAATCTCTAGACTTATATATATATATATATATATATACTGAACTGCTGAATACACCAACAAGCAGTCAGGGGTACTACTTGTACAAGTAATCTTTATTTACTTGAAGAAGTAAAAAAAATATACTTATATAAGTTAATTATAATGTTTGAATAATCTCCCCTTAATTTTCTCAAAAATTCACTTGTATAAGTAAATTTTTTTTACAATCCCACAAAAATTCTCAAGTTTTGAGCTGTAAAAACATGCCTTTAATGATTTTTCCCAGGTCAGCTCATAATTTTTTATTAGAGTTCAATGTTTCATCTCATTAATTCAACAAAGAAACTGATTGCGCAAAGATCTTAAGTATTTGCGCAAGGCCTTCAAAAATTGCCCCTTGGGGGCTTGTAAATGAGCAGTGTTCTGACGATGACAGACAAATGAGATTTTCATTGTCCATGAAATTACACTTAAATGATTAGTTAAGACATCTGCAAAGGACAGACAATTTAAAATTCTATTAGAGCAAAGAAGTCCTAAGAATTCAAGAAAAGAAGATACAATGTAGGATGACTTTTTCACCTATATACATGTAAGTAAAAAAATCTGAATGTCTAAGGGACATAAATAAGCCAATTTTTTTTTTTACCTATACAAGTAAAAAAAATACACTTGTATAAGTATCCTACAAATTTACTTATATAAGTATATTAATATGACTTCTTCAAGTAAATAAAAATTACTTGTACAATTAGTACCCCTGACTGACAAGGTCAACAACATGCTTCTTCTGAAAAAATGACATGTGATAGTTCCAAGTAAAAAAAGAATAAACAGTTGGTTGAACCTTTGGAAAGCTTGATATTTTTTTCTTTGAAATGAGCCATAAATGAAGGTTTTAGGCCAAGAAATAATAAAGTTCTGGTTTATGAGTAATACAGTCAGGGTACATGTATCTTGTTGATTTTTATTTCTTTAAATTTTGACCCAATGTATATTTATGCCCCTGCTGTAGCGGAGGGGGCATTAAGTTTTACCCTTGTCCGTCTGTACTTACGTACATACCAAAATTGGTTTCCGTTCTCTAACTTTAGTTTGCCTCAACCAAATGTTATGAAACTTATACACAATGCTTATTACCACAAAACACAGATCAAGTTTGAATTTTTGTGGCGTCACTTTTACCATTCCAGAGTTGTGCCCCTTTATAAATGGAAAATTGCAAAATTTTTATTTTCTTCTAAATATCAAGTAATTTCTAAAATTGGAGTTATCATCCTTTGTCCATGATTATAGTTTAATCAACTATAATCAATGCTTTATACAATGCAATGTTTAATTTTGACTTCCACTGATAAAACACAGATCAAGTTGAATTTGGGTAGTGTCACTTTAACCATTATTGAGTTATGCCCCTTTAATTTATAAATCGAAAGATTGCAAAATTTTTAGATTCCATTCTGTAACTTAAGTTTGCCCCAACCAAACATTATGAAACCTCATATTCATTACCACAAAACTAAGATCAAGTACAAATTGTTTGTTTCCGTTTTCTAACTTTAGTTTGCCACCTTTCCTAAGTCAGGAATCTGATGTTCAGTAGTTGTCGTTTGTTGATGTGGTTCATAAGTGTTTCTCGTTTCTTGTTTTTTATATAGATTAGATCGTTGGTTTTCCCGTTTGAATGGTTTTACACTAGTAATTTTTGGGGCCCTTTATAGCTTACTGTTCGGTGTGAGCCAAGGCTCCGTGTTAAAGACCGTACTGTGACCTATAATGGTTTACGTTTATAAATTTTGACTTGGATGGAGAGTTGTTTCATTGGCACTCATACCACATCTTCTTACACATGTTATATCTACTCAACCAAATGTTATGAAACTTATACACAGACACAATGCTCAGTGATTTTGCTAGCGCTCGTCATTTTCGTCATTTACGAAACGGTTTTCAAAATGACGAAAGTATTCCAAATCAATTTCGTCACTTAAATTTGGAAAGAGTAAAAATATTTTCGCATATTTTCGCATGAAAATACTATGATTCTCCTGTCTTATTGTTTCTGACAAGTTTATGACCCTCAGCTAATTAACATTTACAACAGGTGTTAGAAGTTGTGATTACAGATAATCAGTGAATGCTTATTACTACATAATACAGATTAAGTACCAAATTTGGTGGCAACACTTTTACCATTCTTGAGTTATGTCCCTTAGTAAACATAAAAATTGCTGAATTTTTGGTTTCCATTCTCTAACTTTAGTTTGTCTCAACCAAATGTTATAAAACTTATACACAACTGTTCTAGAGTTATGCATGTTTACAAATAGAAAAATTGCTGAATTTTTAGTTTCTGTTCTCTAATTAAGTTAGCCTCAACCAATGTTATGAGACTTACACACAATGCTTTATTTCCACAAAACTCAGATCAAGTTAAAATTTGGGTAGCGTCACTTTTACTGTTCTTCAGTTATGTCCCTTTATAACTATATGATATGCAAGCGGGGGCATCATCTGTGTCCACATGTGGACACTATCCACATTTATTTGATATATATATGCACTATTAAACTATGGAAAGAAAAACACGATGACCACATGAACAATGAACATGCATGAACATACCATAAAGACTTTCATTGTGATATTATTTTGTTTGAAATTTGCATGTCATAACATTACATTTGGATTTTTGATTCTTTCCGAAAAAGTAACAAGATTTTTAACGGAAAGAGATATTTCACATGTTTTTTGTAAAGTATTCCTTCATTTATAGGCATGATAGGCCTGTATGGCAGTCATCTAAATGAAGGTTAAATGCAATAACATTTTTGTGAAATCTTTCAATTGTTGGTAATAAAAAGAAGGAGACAATTTTCTTTACAAATCAAATGCATATATATCATGTATATATATATAGAAAAAATTAGATTTTTCATTACAATTTCAATATATCATTCTTGAAGTAGTACATGGTGTATTGCAGAATTAAGAATTTAGGATTCCATGTCACGACATGTGCTTATTATTTAGGTTGAAATAGAAAATTTTGTTTTTTAAATGTACAAGATCCAATTTCCCTTTTTTTGGCTCTAAATTACATTCCCACATTATGTGAAAACTTTTTAAGAATTGCTGTCATATACCTATTTATTGATGATAAAAAAGTAAACAGTTTTCATTTGCCTCAAATTTTATGACATCACACATGTCACAGTTAATTTCACATTCTTGAATTTATGTAAGACATGTTCCTTTTCCTTTATAAAAATAAGGAGATGTGGTATGATTGCCAATGAGACAACTATCCACCAAAGTTACAATGAAGTGGATGTAAGCAGTTATAGGCAACTGTACGGCCTTCAACAATGGGAAAAGCCCATACAGTAGAGTCAACTATAAGGCCACGACATGAAAAATATGAAACAGTTTAATTGAGAAAACTAACGGTCTAGTTTATAACAAAACAATTTATGAAAAACAAATATGACAGACATGAACCAACGACAACCACTGAACTACAGGCTCCTGACTTGGGACAGGCACATCAAGAATGTGGCGGGGTTAAACATGTTTGTGAGCGCTCAACCCTCCCCAATCCTGGGACAGTGGTGTAATAGCACAACATAGTAACAAACTATAAAAATCAGTTGAAAAAGGCTTAACTCATCAGATCGATACAAAGAAAAACATCAAACAAAAACACAGACAGGACGTGGCAGGGTATATATCTATCCCTCATCCCTAACAACAAAAAAGACACTTAAGTACAGATCTGAGAGTTACTAACAGCTAGCATGGCTAGTTCAAAGCCAATAACAACTAATGAAGAAAATAATGTATCTTAGACTAAAATATCAATCAGTACACATCCAACATCCAATGGATTTAGTGTAAAGAGTCTAAAGATGTCATTAACAGAGAAAAACATGACCTTGTGCAATGCCAAAATATAGGTATTGAAAGATTGAAGTACCATGAAAGTATGTATGTGTTATATATTGTATTGTTTTAATTGACTGATAACAAAATCAGACTTGTATAGACTTTCAAATTCATGTAACTAATGTGTTGAGGTTAGTGATTTTTCTGCTTGCTTATCATTTATAACGATGTTATAAAAACAACAGGTTAAATTTGGATGTATTGTTATCTGCCCTTGCTTAGAACTCTATTGTGTGCCCTTAAAGTTGTTACTAGTCAATGAGACTGTATTTCAGATGTCTGGGAGATCATCAGAAGAAGTATTACTGATTGTAAACCATGTCAAAAATAAGAAAACCGAAGGAAATTTGTACATGATGGGGGAACGAGTTGGATGGATGCAAGGTAGCAAAAGTAACTTCACCTACAGCTACCTGTACTCAGATATCAAAGGTATCGTAAGAAAACTTCAGTTACCATTCAGTTACTTAAACCATTTACTGATTATCTTAGTCTACCTGTATTCAGACATCAAAATTCAAAGAAATGGAAAACTTCAGTTTCCATTCAGTTACTTAGCCATTTACAGGTCTCAACATTACTTTTTGTCCAATTGTCCAGGATAAGTGGACATAGGCGTCGGACAAGTACAATCACCATATTAGTTGTCCGACTGGACAAGTGAAAAATCCATGATATAAAACATGTAAAACTTACAAGACTTGCAATTGCCTAAAACGTGAACTATTTTTTTATTGATCATACGAAATCTAAATTCATTGATTGAACCAGGGGAGTGTAAGTAAGGGGAAGGAAATCAATGATAAGACATGCTGACTGAATGGACAAGTTAGACTAAATGATAATGTAGAGGCCTGATTTACTGATTATCTTAATAATTTATCTGTATACAGACATCAAAATTCAAAGATTGGGTAAGTTAAGCCGCCATTCAGTTACTTTACTTTTTACTGGTTATCTTAATAGTCTACATGTATTTACACAGACATCAAATCCAAAAGTAAAGTCACTCTAGTTACTGTTCAGTTACTATTCCATTTACTGGTTATCTTCACCTTGTATTCAGACATCAAATTCAAAGGTACGGTAACTTTAGCTACCGTTAAGTTACTATACCATTTACTGACTATCTTCAACTTGTATTCAGACATCAAATTCAAAGGTAAGGTAACTCTAGCTACTTTAGTTACTTTACCATTTATAGGTTCTCTTAATCTATTGTATTCAGGCACCAAATCCAAAGATAAGTAGTACTTACAGAAGAATATAAGCAATGTCTTTTTATAGGAAGGCGGCCTTTAGTAGTCATCTATAAATCATGTATGAATGTAAAATTTCAAATAAATGAACAAGATGAGAACTTCATTGTTGAAAGCCATATGGTTACCTATAGTTACTTGCTTCTTCATCATTGGTCTCTGGCGGAGAGTTGTCTCATTGGCAATCATACCATATCTTTTTTTACATGATGAACAAATAAGTTATCAAATAAAAAACAAAATATTTTATTATATTTTTCAGCCCAGAAAATTTCACCAGATACTAAAGAGAAAGTACAATTACAGTTAAATATGCATGATGGAAGTGCTAACACATTCCACTTCAACAATCCTCAAGGGCGTGAAGCAGCAGTAAAGGACAGGGATACAGTCAAAGAACTATTATTACAACTCTTGCCAAAATTTAAACGAAAACTGAACAGTGAGCTGGAAGAGAAAAATAGGTATTTATTTTAAACATGTTAAAGCAGATATGATCTTCATCTTGTTATAATGCCACTACTCCATGTGAATATGGCTTGGTTTAGTCCTTAACTCCTATATTCAACTGGTAACACACTTGTCTTAAAAAAATCACTGGGGCATGAAGCATCAGTGAAGCAAATGGATACAGTCAAAGTGCTATTGTCATGATTTTTACAACTGTTAACACCAAAATTTAAACAATGTTTACATAACAAATCTGCCAATTTGCACTATAATCATGATAATCTTTAGTGAACAAATACTACTAAGGAAAAAACAAAAAGCAACTACTGGCAAGGTTTATAAAGAATGTGGATAGGCACATCATCATTGGATAGGGTTCAGCTAGTGTTCAGATAAAATATGTTTTTGTATGACATTATCAGAGGCAATGGGTCTTACAATTGAGGGGGCTTCTTGAGAAGGGTTGAATGACCATAACAAATGAAAACAACACTTTATTAATTTTATGCTTTCGAAGCCCTTTTCTGGATTTACCTTCACCATGAATGCTCAGTTTGGAATATTTGAAAGCAAAGGAGAACTGAAACAGTTAAAGACCTAAATGACCAAAAAGGACATAGAAAAATAAGCCAAATACAATCTCTTAAGGTAGAAATATACTGTTGTAACAGTTATGAATGATAAAAGGTCTACAGTATATCAGAATATATATATATAGATTCTACCACTGCATCGAGTGTGATACGATATTTATCCACTCGAGACAGTTAAATTTTCAAATTTAAAACGCGAGGCTCGCCGAGCGTTTTAAATATTTAAAATTTAACTGTCGAGAGTGGATAAATATCGTATTACACGAGATTTGGTGGTGGAATCTGTTTCTCTAATGATTTTCAAACAATACGCAGGCAAATTTATTCATTCTTTTCGAATGATCTGCAAAAAGATGTGCTCTTTCTATGTGACGTCATCAGGCATGGTCGCCTTTTTTCATGCCGTCACAATAGGAAATTCAGAGGAAAGCAAGAAAATTCGACGTCATAATCGGAATTTAACCAATGAAGAACTGAGATCAAACGAACCACACGTTGATTAATTTTTTTTTATACAATGGGTGCAGAAAGGGATAAATTGACGAAGAATTAGAGAAATATATATATATATGAGCCGACATTCCATAAGCAATGCCAGTATATACTTTGCTAGTTAATAAAACATTGTAGATGGATAATTTTTCATATGGATGTTACAATTTATTTTTTAGATTACTACAGGAAAACCCAGAAATATTTCAGTTATATAAGGATTTAGTGGTCAGTGGTGTTATGAGTTCTGATGAATTCTGGGCTCAAAGAGCTGAGGTATGTGTTTTTCATCTTTCATACTGATCAACCATAGTGCTTTTTGGAAGTATGTTTCCCTCACGTGTTAAAAAGAGGGTTTTTTTGCCCCCACCGCTAGGAGAAGGAGGCAGTACGGTTAACTTTTGTCAGTTCATAGGTACATTCAGAAATTGGTTTCTGTTCTCTAACTTTAGTTTTCTTCTACCAAGTGTTATGAAACTTATACACAATGCTTATTCCACCAAAAACACAGATCAAGTTCGAATTTGGTTGTTTCATTATCTTGAGTTATGTCCCTTTATAAATGGAAAAATTGGTGAATTTGCTGTTTCCTTACTTTTACTTTGGTCTGTTTCAACCAAATATTATGATTCTTTTTCACAATACTTATTACCACCAAACACAGATCAAGTTTGAATTTAGGTGGTGTCACTTTCACTGTCTTGAGTTATGTCCCTTTATAAATGGAAAAATTGGTGAATTTTCCGTTTCCTCATTCTTACTTCAGTTTGCCTCAACCAAATGTTATGAAACTTATACAGGATGCTTATCACCACCAAAAACAGATCGAGTTGGAATTTGAGTAGCACGGCTTTTGCCATTCTTGTGTTATGCCCCTTTGTTAAGTTAGGTTTCAACTTGTACATTGACTCGTGCATATTGACAAGTGGACACATTATTCTTTTATTCAATTTAAAACATTGATTTGATATTAAGTATTATCTTATGAGCTACATGTATTAAACCTATTTTTTTTAATTGTGACTGTTTTCATTTGTATGGAAATAGCATCTATATATTGAAAATAAAAAAAAAGAAGTTTGGTAAGGTGGTACAAAACACCTTGACTAAAATTAATTTGGCTTGTTTAATTTTCATAAAATTTTGGCAAAATATTTACTTTGACCCTTTGACAAAAATATAAAAATTTCAAAAAAATTGAACCACACACTCTATTGGAAAAATTTCATTGGATATAGAGCAGTTTGACAAACACTAATTTGGATCATTGAGAAGCTTAATATTTCCTTAACAATAGAACGTGATTAAAACGTTCAGCTGATTTTTACAGAGTTATCTCCCTGTAGTGTTATGTACCACCTTAAGGTAATGGAGAAACTCAATCTGATTGAAATACAGATACTGTGTCTACACTTCCCTAACAAGGATCTGACAATGCTCCATTCTACTTTCTGTTTTAAAGACCTTCGGTATCCTCTGGTTTTGTTGCAATGATGCATACATTAAAAAATTTAAAAGGCTATATTTCATTGGCTGATGTAATAATTACAAAAACAAAAAGAACAGTTTTGTCAGATTGTTGTAGGCAAATGGTGGAACAGGGTTTGTATTTTAATCAGAGTGGGAGAAACTATGGTCAGCTGTACATAATTTTATAGATTACTTCTATTTATAGATGCAGCAAAAGTCAACTTCTACAAAATCAGAAGGGAAGCAGGTAGTGGGAGTGTCAGCTGCTTTTTTAGTAAGTATTTTAACAGTCATTTTCTTATGCAGGATAGTATAAAAATTTGTAATGTTTATGTCTATTGTACAAAACATAGCAAAGGGGCGTCTCTTTATTTTATGATATTTGATATTTTTACTGTCTTAAATGAAAGCATATATCAATTTATTCATTTATGAATTAAACCAAGATGTCTTTAAAATGATTGATTCAGTAGAATTTTAAAAAAAAATCCAATTTCATGGATCAGGTAATTGCCATACCTCCTACTTTGTCCTGATTGGTTGATGTTAGACGATTGAATCTGAAAAAAAGGAATCAGTGTTCTGCTTAGGATATTTAACCTTCAGGGTACTACCATGATGCTATAATTTGTTACCCTGATTTATACAATTGAAAAAACATTGATAATCTGCAAGAAAACTTTTAACACTACCTTGAGTTTTGTTATAAAATGAAAAAGTTTTAAATATTCCTACAGGCAGACATTAAACCAGAGACAGATGGATGCAATGGTCTAAAATACAACCTCACTACAGATATCATAGAATCTATTTTTAGAACATATCCAATGGGTAAGCATAAGAGAAATCTAAAGATAAAAGTTGTAGAACAAAATTTCTAGAAGCCATAAATTTTACTATCAATATACATATGGCCTTATCTCTGGACAATATGGTAAATGGTTCAGAACAGGAAAGATGTACAAGTAAAAGGAAAAGGAAAATAGAAATCAACGAGTCTTTTAAATTACCGAAAAATGCATTTGAACTAAAAGGTTAATGAGAAAAATCATAACAGTACTACGAAGACTTACATCATGAATACAACTTTTGATAACTCACATTAAATAGTAACTGTGTAATGAAATGTTGTGTTACCCCCAGATTCAATTAATTTGACCTCACATATTGCAAAATATTATGATTCACTTTTATATAAATCATTCAGGAAGGCATGACAAATAAATGTATATTGAATTTTTTCAGTAAAGAAAAAACATTTGGAATATGTTCCGCATCAGTTGTCAGAAAGTGAATTCTGGACACGTTTCTTCCAATCGCACTATTTTCACAGAGACAGAACAAATATAAGCAAAGCTGAAATGTTCTCAGATTGTGCTAAAAATGATGAGAAAGGTAAGTTTTTAAAAGAAGTACTGTCCATTTTGATTAATTGTTTGTTGTTTAATATCATACAATACTTTTGTTATACGTGTTATATTGACCAATGTTTTGATGATAATGATGAAACTGAAAGACAAATGTATATTCAAATTGCATGAAATTATTTTACAGAAATCTCTGATGAAATTGAGAAGAAAGTGAGTGATCCATTAATAGATCTGGTGGCAGGATCTGATGTGTCTCAAGGAGAAGTATGTATTCTGTGAAAAAGAAGAAAAAATATACTGTTAATATGATAAAGTGGGAAATTTTTACAATTGATGAGAGAGACTGTCATGTTTTGACTTTGTAAAGGCTTTTCTAAAAGAAAAATTATTTGTTGAATTTATTTTATGGTGCACACTTCAAACTTCAAAAATAGTTTGAGTCCAATAGCAATTGCAGACTTTTCTAGATTTTATATAGAATACATGAAGTTTACACCAAGACTAGATGCCAACTCTATCCAAGAAAAAATAACACATATCAAGGAAAAATTTGGAAAAGGCTATAGGTGTAATACCACCATTGATTTTCCCCTATTAGTCTTTGTTAAATTTGCACTTTTCAAAAAAATGTGCAGAATTTATCTTTGTTTCAAATAAAGAAATACTTGGCATGAGTTAAATTTTATCCTGTCCAGTACTATAGAAAAAAATTCACATAACATTTCATTGCATATAAGAAAGTAACCATCACTGGAAGTTAACCAATCAAATTTTTCCCCTTTTTTAACCTGTGTACAAGCTTTAGTAACCATGTAACCTCAAGTTTCCAAAATATTCTATAGAAACCCCAAATAAAAAAATAATGGTGCTTTGAAATACCCAAGATATATGTTTATGACCCAGAAATGTTTTACTGCAATGAAATGTAGGATCAATTACCTGCAACTGTCAAATTCAAGGGAATATTTTTTTTTGACCTATTTTCGTATGCAACCGGATGTGACGTACTATGATTTGGTGGTATTACACCTATAAAAAAATTCAACATTTTAAAAATCTATTTTTAGTAATCTTGTGCCATTGAATTGCTATCTCATTGACTTTCTCTCTATATGTTTGCATTCCTACATTAAAGTTGGATAATAATACAATCAATAGGAGAAAAGAGGGAAAATGTGTAGTATTTTCTGTCATGACTTAGATTAATCTAAGAGCTGTTCCAGAAAATACTATGTCCCCCCCAGGGACGGCACTTTTTTTTAACCCCCAACACCCACAGAAATAAAAATAAATTGGAATAACACTCCCTTTGCATTTTGGTATTTCAAATACAACCACCCATTAAAAATTTTTAAAAAATTGCCTTCCCTGGGTATTTTCTGGAACAGCCCTAACTTATATTTGTCAACATTTTCACAGGAATATGCATTTAAGTCGGAATTGCTGGAAGAATGATAAATTTCTAGGGTTAATTAGTATACTGTAGGTCAACATTTCAAAGTTTTGTAAAATTTTCTATCAGTATATTAGAAGTAAATGTGCATTTACACAGTACGATTTTCAATCCAATTTGATACTTTTGCCCAGATAAATCGAAAAGAGTTCTGTTCAAAAGATACAATTTTCATTTCGATTAACCAAAAGACATCTGATTTTAGTATTAACAGGGTGCAATTTTTGTGAATAACAACATTATAGGTAAAAAATGAGATTGAATATCGTACCATGTAAATGCAACCTCTAAAGTATTTTCTATTGTAGGGATATGGTAGTTCTTCAAATGATCAAAAGTCCTCAAGTACAAATCACGCAAATTTAACAATGATACGAAGATTTAACCACCATTCAACGATGGTTTTAAAAGCTTGTGATATAAACAGTGAATCCAATAAAACTACTGAAAGCTCAGGAACAAGTAACTCATTGACTAACGGAAACTCAAACAATTCTAACGGTGCTCATTCTTCAAAAGATTCAAGTGAACCTGTGACTAAAAAAGCCAAAATGCAGGAAAAAATTAATTATTCTGACCTTAAAGACAGCAGTGATACTTCTAGTGTTAATTTGAGATTGCATAAGATGGAGGGTTATTTACACGGACCTACCCCTGTTATGGCAACTAAGTATACTACAAGTGAAGATGTGATAGCAGCGACACAGAATGTTTCTCAGGAAATGCATAATTGGGTTCTGGCCCTATCTCAGGTAATGATAAAAGGTGATTAGTTGAAAGAAGTGCTTGCAATTAGAGTCAGTAATTTAAATTTCATTATTTATATTGGAAGGTTTAGAAAAAGAGAATGGTCAGCTCTGTTTCAAAGAAGTGCTTGAAATTGGAGTCCGTAATTTAGATCTTGTTAATTTGAAAAGTTAAGAAGACAAAATGTCAACTCTGTTTGAAAGAAAAGCTTGTAATTTGAGTCAATCAGTTTAAAACTTATTATCCTTACTGAAAAGTTAAGAAGAAAAATGTCAGCTCTGCCTAAAAGAAGTGTTTGAAATTGGAGCTGGTAATTTTCATTATTCATATTGCATAATTGAAAAGAAAGAATGTGAATTGTTTGGAAGACATGCTTGAAATTGCAGTCAGTAATATTAACCTGGTTATTTACATTTAAAAAAGTAAGAACAAAAAAGTCATCTCTGTTTTAAAGAAGTGCTTGAAATTGAAGCTATTCATATTGCACAATTTAAGAAAAAATGTACACTTGGTTATTGTTTTCAATGTTAAGAAATGTTACATTCACAAACAAATGAAATCTCAATTCTGTAGTGTTCAGACATTTCTATATTAACCTTCATTAGGAATGTTCAGTTCAAAAAGCTTAGAGAGAAAAAGATATTTAAAACATGTACATTCAGATAGATCTAAAGAACGAACATGACCAAAAGATGACTATTATAATAGCCAAAAGTTTCATTGCTAGGCCTTGCCTGACGGATTCCTATGAATAATTATGTAATTATGTAAATTGAAAATAGGAAATTTTAAAAGTAGCTATCTTTCCTGGATATGATTGTATCAGAGTTTTCAGTGTGTAGTTAAAATCAATATGCACTGATATTGATATTTCTTTTATTTGCACATAATTTTAGGTTGTATCTAGTAGTACCGCTGTCAGCGTACTAGGAGAATTGTCACCAGGAGGCAGTCTAATGCACGGAACTAGTCAACAACAATTACAACGTTAGTATAACTTAATTGATGTACATGTAGTTAAGAGTAAATATCTCAAAAGTATGACAGACATTTGTCATGCCATCTTAGCTAGCCAAGGATTACGATCCAGTCTCCCTCTCCACTTAGGACTGGATTGTAACCCTTGGCTAGCAAAGATGTTGTCATACCTGCCTTTGAGATTTTAGGAAATCATTTCAAACTATGACAAACATAAGACTGTAAAATTGATACCAATTAGTTTTTATACGACCGCAAAAAAATTTTGAGGTCGTATATTGGTATGACGTTGGCGTCGTCGTCGTCGTCGTCGTCGTCCGGCGTCGTCGTCGTCGTCGTCTGGCGTCGTCGTCCGAATACACAATGGTTTTCGCACTCTAACTTTAGTTTAAGTGAATGGATCTCTATGAAATTTTACCATAAGGTTCAATACCACAATAGGAAGGTGGGGATTGATTTTAGGGGTTATGGTACCAACAGTTAAGGAATTAGGGGCCAAAAAGGGGCTGAAAATAAGCATTTTTGTAACTTCCAGACATAACTTGTGTGTTAGCATATGGATCTCTTTGACATTGTACCACAAGATTCCATATCACTAAGGGTCAATGCTGGGATTGATTTTGGGGTTAATTGCCTCAAAATTTTAGGAATAAGGGGCCAAAAGGGGGCAAAAAACAAGCATTTTTCTAGTTTCATGACAATAACTTGTGTGTAAGTGTATGGATCTTTCTGAAATTTTACTACAAGGTTCCATTTCACAAAGGGAAAGCTGGAATTGAGTGTTGTGGTAATTGCCCAAAACGTTTAGTAATAAGGGGCCTAAAAAGGGGTTTAAAATAAGCATTTTTTAGTTTCTAGACAATAACTTGTGTTCAAGTGTATGGATCTCTCTAAAATTGTATTACAAGGTACCATACCACAAAGGCAAGGCTGTTATTGAGCTTGGTTGGGGGGGAAAGGGGGGTGGGGGTGATGAATCATAAGGGGGGCGGGGTAAAAAAAGGGGTAATTTTTTTTTTTCCTTTTTTTTTTGTTTAAAATTTACATTTTAAGTTAGTTATTTTTTATCACGAAGAGAAAGTAGGAATTGAGTTTTGGGGTTAATTGCTCAAACATTTATGAATAAGGGGCCAAATATTGGTCGAAAATAAGGATTTTTTTAGTTTGCAACAAAAACTTGTGTTCAAGTGTATGGATCTCTGTGAAATTGTATTGCAATGTACCATACCACAAATTGAAGGTTGTGATTGAGGTGGGGGATGATGAATCAAAAGGGGGTTGTAAAAATGTGTGGGGGGTAGGATTTTTTTTTTTCCTTTTTTTTTCTTTAAAATTTTCCATTTAAAGATGGTTGTTTCAGATTTATATATGAAAGAAAATAATAATGATACGGTTATATATCATGAGGAACTGAAATTTAAAATTATGTATATTGGAAATTTAGGTTACATTGGAAAGTAATAATTGGCTTTGGGGGGGGGGGGGGGGGTGGTTATGGCTCTAATGTTTAAGGAATAAGGGGAAAAAAGGTTAAAAAACAAGGGTTTCCATTTTAATAGACAAATAATTGAGTAAAGAACATTATTTAAAAGCAGTGTAAGGTTGGTAATTCAAACTCATTTAAATATCTCATCTACACTGCTTTTAAATTATGTAAATTGGAAATTTGCCAATAACTTTATTGTTAATAAATGCATTGGAAATTTGCCAACAATTTTAGTGTAATAAACTTCATTGGAAATTTGCCAATATAAAATTTTGCTGATGAAGGTTTTTTGTTTACCTTTAGCCTTGACTATGAAGTCATTTTCTATTTTTATAGCCTTATGATGTAGTTGAATTATTTAATACTTTTATGATGTGTTTAAATGGGGTTTTATCATGTTTATGGTTGCAAATTTATTGTTTTAGTATAATAAACTCCATTTAAAATTTGCCAATAAAAAAAATTTTTGTTTATTTTTAGCTATGATTATGATGTCATTTTCTATTTTACTTTTATGGTTGCAAAGAAATTTTTATTTTTAGATATTACTGTTAAATGATGCTGATTAAGGTTTTTGCTATGTTTAGCCATGACTATGATGTCATTTTCTATTTTAATATCTGTTATGATGTATTTAAATGGGCTTTTATGGTTACAAAGGAATTTTATTTTTAGATATTACTATAAAATGTTGCTGATGCTGATTACGGATTTTGTTTATTTTTAGCCATGACTATGATGTCATTTTCTATTTTAATACCTTTATGATGTAATTTCCATTTTTAGATATTACTGTTAAATGATGCTGATTAAGGGTTTTTTGCTATGTTTAGCCATGACTATGATGTCATTTTCTATTTTAATATCTTTATGATGTATTTAAATGGGCTTTTATGGTTACAAAGGAATTTTATTTTTAGATATTACTTTAAATGTTGCTGATTAAGGATTTTTGTTTATTTTTAGCCATGACTATGATGTCACTTTCTATTTTAATACCTTTATGATGTATTTAAATGGGCTCCCATGTATTTAGATTTTTGGTTATTTATACATGTTACCAAATTGGTCCACATTGAACAAAAACGGTCCAAATTTCAACTTTATTACATTACATCAAACATTGAATTCTACATATTCTTTGATATATTGAAATTAACAAACAATTTAGTTTATGGATATTCCACCATAATATAATATAAATAAATTTTTTCCAGTTCTTACACCACATTCATCCTGTGTCAGAAACCTATGCTGTGTCAAATATTTAATGACAATCCAAAGTCATAGCTGTATCAAGCTTGAATTTTGTGTCCATACTTGCCCCAACTGTTCAGGGTTCGACCTCTGCGGTCGTATCAAGCTGCGCCCCAGCGAAGCATTTTATTAGCAAATTTAAAGCACAATTAATCTACTTCATTCTGTGTTATCATAGTGGATTCAAGGCCTTGTAGTTAACTTACAGAATATTTGTGCATCTAAATGTACATTGACCTTAAGTGTTACTGATGTATAGAAAATTGATACCTGGACTTCTATCTGGCAGTAAAATCTAGTCTAAGCAGGGTGGAGGGGGCATTAAGTTTTACCCTTGTCTGTCCGTCCATCCGTCCATACGTCAGTACGTCCCCAAATTTGGTTTCTGTTCTCTTTAGTTTGCTTCAACCAAATGTTATGAAACTTATACACAATGCTTATTACCGCAAAACACAAATCAAGTTCAAATTTGGGTGGCGTCACTTTTATCTTCCTTTACAAATGGAAAAATTGATGAATTTTTCGTTTCTGTTCTCTAACTTTATGTTATAACTTTAGTTTGCATCAACCAAATGTTATGAATCTCAAACACAATGCTTACTACTACAAAACACAGATCAAGTTTGAATTTTGGTGGCGTCACTTTTACCTTCTAGAGTTATGCCCCTTTACAAATGGAAAAATTGCTGAATTTTTCGTTTCCTTTCTCTTACTTTAATAAGTTTGACTCAACCAAATGTTATGAAACTTATACACAATGCTTATTACCACAAAACTCAGTACAAATTTGGGTAGGTCACTTTTACCGTTCTTCAGTTATGTCCCTTTATAACGATATGTGCAAGCGGGGGCATCATCTGTGCTCCATGGACACATTCCCCATTTATTTTTTCTGTGCTAAATGTACAAAATATGCAGGCTGACCTTAAGATGTCATTTTATTATTTTTGATACGATTTGCATATCATTGACATATACCCTAGTAACCCTCCATCTTTTGTCTAGTTAAAATGAGGAAGTTAAATCTGATGCCCTGTGTTTCGATAGTATCATATTATCAGCACAATAAGGGATCCTCTAGTTTCCTTCAATAATAAAAACTGGCTGCCAAGCTATAGCCAATAGTGCTAAAAGTGGCATTTAACACTGAAAATTCAATCAATTCTAAAACAGATTTAAATTAATCTTTGTTATTTAGAAGCAAAAACTATATTTATGAAAATGGTTGACACACAAGTAACAGTCATTAAGAGATATATCCCTTTAAATATATGTACCTCCATTAACAACTCTTACTGACGTCTGTAGGGCTGAGGTCACTTGAAACTCTCAAGTTAACTTTACTTACTCGGGTTTCAATCGTAGTTCACTTGAACCTCACGAGTTAACCCATTTCACCATCTTACTCTGGTTCAAACCCCCACTAAGCCAGTGTTGAACTCGAGTTACTCTTGAATGATGTCAAACCAATCAGATTTCTTCTTTTTTATGCTTGGTCGGGGCCTTAGCTTAGTGTTACTTAGAGTTGTTCCTAATAGCAAAATCAGTGAGTTCAAGTGATTCTCTTGAAACTCTGAAGTCCACTCTCTAGAGTTTCAACTGAACTTGGCCTAAGTGATCCATTACAAAGCTAAATGTGTGTCTCTCTCCAACATACCCTGTCTTTCCATCAGTCTTAATTTTCTACCATTCATCTCATTCATTCCATATTTTAGAACCATTTTTATACGACCGCAAAATTTTTTTGGGGGGGTTATGGTACTAACAGTTAAGGAATTAGGGGCCAAAAAGGGGCCAAAAATAAGCATTTTTGTAACTTTCATACATAACTTGTGTGTTAGTGTATGGATCTCTCTGACATTGTACCACAAGGTTTCATATCACAAAGGGAATGCTGGGATTGATTTTGGAGGTAATTGCCTCAAAATTTTAGGACTTAGGGGCCAAAAAAGGGGCAAAAAACAAGCATTTTTCTAGTTTCATGACAATAACTTGTGTGTAAGTGTATGGATCTTTCTGAAATTGTACTACAAGGTTCCATATCACAAAGGGAAAGCTGAAATTGAGTTTGGGGGTAATTGCCCTAAACGTTTAGGAATAAGGGGCCAAAAAGGGGCCAAAAATAAGCATTTTTTCTAGTTTCCAGACAATAACTTGTGTTCAAGTGTATGGATCTCTCTGAAATTGTACTGCAAGGTACCATACCACAAAGGGAAGGCTGGGATTGATTTTGGGGGTAATTGCCTAAAAATTTTAGGAATTAGGG